CTACTGGCTCTTTCATTCTTTATTGGAAGTTCTTGGTTCGCATGCTTGTGAACTGGCCGGATACCAGGATACCCAGTTCTGTTACTTCTCAGATAGCTATGTCGGAGTTTCTCCAATTGTTCGGCCATCGTGTCTACTGGACAACAAGGGGAATAGTAAAATATCAACTCCTCTTTCAACTGTTCTGGCAGTTTCTGGTACAATTTATCTTTCAACGTTTGTTCTTCACCTTCCCTGGGCCCATACCGGCGGAAAATGGTTGTGAGAGCTGATTTAATTTGGCCCAAAAAGCGCCGGGGATCATCTTCCAAATTGTACTCTAACCGCGCAAATTCCTGCCAGGCAACTTCCAGAGGGATTGGTTTCACAAACAATTTCCGCAAGGTTGCTTTAAGTTTATCCCAATCTTCCTCATCGGTACCGAGTTCTACTTGGACCATGTCTTCAATCTGCTGGTCCATGCGGTCGGTAGCTACATACCATTTATCCCTTGAGCTAACTGCGCAATACTCTACTCTCTTACAGAATTTAGTTAAGATGGTGTCTGCGTTACATTCAACGAGGTTGTAGTGGACGTCTCCCCTACAAACTGCTAGCAGCCCACCACCTGCTATCACATTCCAACGTGCCGTTGCCTAGCAACGAAACTATTCACCGGCGACTTCTCGGGTTTTCCCACCATGACTCATAGCGGCTGCTGGGTATATAAGCTCTGTCTCTCCATTGAGATTCATTCTGACCATTCTTCTTGAACAAGCAACACCTCCTCCTCCACCGCTGCCTGGCTGCCTTAGCTCCTCCTCGCCTGCCTGGCGGTCCTCGCTCCCGCCAGCGAGCATGGCGACCCACCAGCTGTCCTTCTCTGAGCTTCCTCACCAACCAACTCTCATTCTGCCCATCTTCCTGAACAAGCAACACCTCCAGCACCAGACTGTCTCTCATATAACTTATATTATACAAGAAAACCACATTAGAGTTTCCTTCCATCCTGAGTGCTAGACAACAATAATATCTCGATACCCCTACAAGGTCGTCAAAGGACAGCCTCGGAATGTATTGGTGGTAATGGGGGCCAGGAGGTCGGCTGGGTATATCGTTAGGAGGGGGCAAAAGTGGAACCACGGCAGGAGGGGGCACAAGTGGAACCACGGCAGGAGGGGGCAAAAGGGGAACCACGGCAGACGAGTAGGTACAGCCAGTTCTTCCTCTGTCTATCAAGCAGTTTTGTTAAGGTCTCCTTATCGATCCATAGACCCAGCAGAAGTCAGCTCAAGAGCTGGACACTTGGCGGCAACCAACAGCGCTGGCCAGCGGTCCCCATTTGCGCACATCTGCCATCAACACTGGCCAGTGCCCACCAAGACCCAAGGAATATATCCACCAACACATAAATTCAAAGAATATTACAAGCAGAATTAGCATCCACTTTCATCTTTGTATATAGTAATGCTTCTGTTAGTATTTAAGAATTAAACACTGGGCACTCCTATTTATGAAACATTTCACACTAGTGCCACGTGCCCAAACATGTATTCACTGTCTGTGGCACATTGAGTTAATAACGGAAAAAATTTGGGCAGATTACACATCAAAATTCTTTCCAATATTAATGAACCCATCTACACTTCTACAAGTTATTGTTGCAGGTTTCTTTACTTTAAAACAAACATTCTTTTCTAACTCTAACTCAAGGTATTTTTGAACTTATTTCACTTTCTGCAAACCACTACAAAAGCTGTACCTGTAGGTGCATGGAACAAAAACGATAGTAATCTGAAATACTCATTAGTTACAGTGGAATGGCTATTAAATACCGTGACAGAGAAATGGTTAACTCAGTTAAAACCATAGAATATGTGTCATTCTGTAACTCGAGCATTATGTCTATTATATCCCACGCTGCTACCATTTATGAGGGCCTGAACTGTCACATTTATGAGCCTCTAAAATAGTGCACAATTTTTTATTTATACTTATCACACAGAAGGCAGATAGGAGGTCAGGTAGGTGTAATGATAGTATCAAGCAATAGGGAAGAAATAACGTAAATACTGTAGGTAAATAATGACACACCATATAAATACAAAGTTTATTTAAACATGAATATGTAGAAATTAGAAGAAAGAATCTATTTGTACTAACAGACGCAATCTAGTACTCAGGCCCTCATAGGCTCAACATACCACCATTACGGTGACATATTCAATAACACTTCCAACCCTACTGGGTGACATAATTAACAACATGCATCTATTAGAAGTTACTTAGCAATTATAAATACTAGGCAATTGCTACTATAACACTAGTCGCCGTGTGATACTCAGCTAAACAGCCATGGGGTCCAGCTACTAAGTGGAGTACTATCCCATTTAACCTGGGAGATCCCAGGATTAATTCCACCACACAAATAATAGGCCTTACTGGAGTGAGACACTATCCACCAATGATGGGTCTGGTAGGTGGTGTGTGGCTTGGGTGATCCCAGCGCCACCTCGTGGACTGGTGCCAGGGCCAGACCAGCCAGCTATGGGGGGGCTTGGCAGTAGGTAGTCTGAAGTGTCTGACTGCCGGTCTCAATAAGGTAACTGATCCTACTGGACCCCTGACATCTCCCCAGACACAGGGGATACAATGATTCACGCTTACAGACACGGCCTAGGCTGCGTTAGGGACCTGTGGCGGATGAAGGGACGGCACTTACTAACGGTGACAACAACATCACGTTTCAGGACGTTAAGGACGCACTGGTGACTTCACCAGAGCATATCAACTACGAAGCATTGCAACACTTGCACAATCAACTATTAATTAACAAATCACTTAAAGAAGGGCGAGAATTAAGATAAACACAGAGGAATGGCATACCTGTATGGATGAAGGACAGGTACTTACTAATGTAGAAACAGTTCAAGTACTTCTAATTCGCTAACCTTGAGATCAGGTCCCACCCCACTATTCCGATGAATTAATTTACTGTACACTCTGACGTTGAAACTGAGACTATGACCTCATTTTCATTCTCTACTATTATCTTCACTAACAATGCTCTGACTCAGCTATCAAAAGCAAAATTAAATTGATTACAAAGGGTTGGATGGCAACAGGTCCCAACATACAGCGTCTAAACAAAGACGGCTTATCGATGACGTCATCAAGGAACAGAGAAAACGGAGGACGTTTCCACTGAGGGACTCAGAAGGTTTTGTGGACGTTTGAGCATAATATGAATCCTTAAGGTTTTCAGGTTAGCTATTATCATGATCATTACAACAAGTTATAAAATAATCATTCCATAACTCCCCTAGATCATCCGACTAACTCTCACTACTGCATGAAGAAATGTTTGTTCCCATTATTTTTTTGACCTCATGATAATTATTATTTTTTTGCACATTCTAAATGTAGGATTATATGTGCATGTAATTGAATGACAAAATATGGAGAAAGTTATGTCTATACTATGTATACCCAAAATTACAACTTGAAAAATAGCCATAACTCCTACCTCAGCCTGGTAAGCCAGCACTAGGGGGATGTGGCCACCCCAACTGACTCTAGGGAGCATACGACTTGAATTTTTGTGAAACCCAAATTCGTAAAAGTGAGGGGAAGCTTTTGTAACATGTAAGAGAGGTGATAATTTAAGAAATTTGTATAGTGAATTTTTGCATATTGATGGATACCTGCTGCAATAAAAATGTGTTTACCAATAACTAAATGAAGGATACACATATTGCTCATGGGTAGGTGTAATAATCTTAGGAACAAATATTAATATACATCTGCTCTCCTACTGCAACCATCTCTGGTCATCCTCTCTTTAGGGTTATGGGGAAACTTTCGTCATGGCTCTCGACATCTTCAAAGTATTTGACAGGGTATGGCACAAGTCTTTGCTTTCTAAACTTCCCTCTTGTGGTTTCTCTCCCCCACTTGGTTCTCTAATTTCTAGCTTCCTAGAGAACCGATCCATGGCAGTTATTGCCGAGGGATCGATCTCTTGCTCTTTCTCTACCAATAGTGGTGTCCCACAGGGTTCTGTCCTTTCACCTACTCTCTTCCTTCTTTTTATTAATGATTTACTTCACACTACGACTAATTCTATCCATTCTCATGCTGATGATTCTACTCTTCACTTTTCTTCATATTTTCCCCTTCCCCCTGTTTCTCATGCTGATATAATTTCATCTACCAATGCAGATCTGTGCAGCATCTCCAAATGGAAAGGTAAAAACGTGGTTAAATTCAATAGTAATAAAACAGTATTTACCAGCAATCACATTTCAGGATGCAACCATTTTGCCAAATTCTAAAATAGATATGCTAGGCCTCACCATTTCTTTTAATATGTCATGGAAGCCACACATCCACAACATTACTAAAGCTGCCTCCCAAAAGCTGGAAATGCTGTACAGATGCCGTAGCTACTTCACTCCTGAGCAGTTGCTTTATGTTTATAAGGGAATTCATTCATCCTAACTTGGAATACTGCTCTCATATCTGGGGTGGATCTTCTTCTGTCCAACTGTTAGATAGGGTGGAATCAAAGGCATTTCGTTTTATTGACTCTCCACCTTTAGTTGATAATCTTTCTTCCCTTTCTCTTCACCACAATGTTGCTTCACTCTCTCTTTTACAGGTACAGTAAGTCCTTGATTAACATTGCCCCAGATAACAATGTTTCGTTATAACGTTGCTATTCTTTTGATACCCATGATTCGGATAACACTTTGCCGATTCAGTATAACGTTGTCACGGGCTACATTGTATGGCCCATTTTTTTGGGTGCGCTACGAAGCTCTCACTCGTGGAGCATCCCACAACGTTCCCAAGCATCGCCAGTCTTTGTTAGGCTTCCACAGAGTTCATGCGTGTTCAAGTGTTTTTGCTCTTAATACTGTACTCTAACAATCCAAAATGGCTTCCAAGCGCCCATCAAGTGCTAGTGATGCTATGGTGTTGTGAAGAAGCAATGTAAGACCATTAGCCTAGCTACGAAAATGGAGGTTTTAGCCCGTTTTGAGAAAGGTGAACATGAGGTGGACATAGCTGCTTCCTTAGGTCTAACCCCCACAACAGTGCGTACTATCCGGACCAGCGTGGACAAGATTAAGGCTAGGGCTGGAAGTGATACTTCTCTGAGTGCAACAAAGACAAGTCTTACTCGAAGTTCCGTGATTGCAAAGCTGGAAAAGATACTGGCAATGTGGATGGAGGACCAGAATCAATACAATACCCCTATGAGCCTTATAGTTATCCAGCATAAAGCAAAATCCTTGTTTGACGACTTGAATGCTGCAGAGGGTGAAGGATCGAAGGATGAGACCTTTACAGCCAGCTGAGGATGGTTTCAACGTTTTAAGCACCATTATAACTTCTATAACGCTAAGATGACTGGTGAAGCTGCTAGTTCAGATATGGTTGCTGCTGAGATATTCCCACTGGAGTTCAAAAGCATTATCGAGGAAGGAGTGCTCAGCGAAGCATGTCTTCAATGTGGATGAGACTGGTCTCTTTTGGAAGAGGATACCTGAAAGAACCTATATCTCCAAGGAAGAAAAAAAAGAGTGCCAGGTTTTAAAGCGGCAAAAGACCACACGACGCTGCTGCTCGGTGCGAACACTGCTGGCGACTTCAAGCTGAAGCCTACGCTAATTTCTAACGCTGCTAACCCATGTGCCTTTAAAGGTTACTCTAAGGATCATCTTCCTGTTATCTACAAGACAAACAAAAAGGCATGGATAACCAGCGCCATATTTAGCCAGTGGTTAACTGCGTACGCCGCCCCTGCACTGAAGGATTATTTTGCCAAGGAGAACCTGGACTTCAAAATTCTTCTTATCATTGACAATGCTCCAGCACATCCTCCCAGTATCGAGGACTTACATGACAATGTTCAAGTTGTATTCCTGCCCCGCAACACAACAGCACTGATGCAGTCTATGGGCCAACTGCTCAAGGCTACTGACAGAGAAAATAAACCTAAAATCCGAGAATATTGGCGTGGCTTCAACATTCTTCATGTAATCGACAACATTGTTAAGGCATGGGAAAAAGTTTCAGAAAATTGCCTGAATGGTGTGTGGCGTAAGTTATGGCCTGAGTGTGTGAACAGTTTTACAGGATTCACGGACTTAGTCCCAGCAGTGAATAGGGATATCCTCAGCTTCGCTAGAAAGGCAGGCTTTCACGAGTTGGAATCTGAAGATATTGAGCAAGTCCTGGCATGCCATACAGAAGAGCTTACTAATGAAGATCTGCAACTGCGAACAAAACACAGTGTCGCTGAAAACGAAGACGAAGAAGAACCACAACGAACGCTAACTACCAAGAGGATGGCAGAAGCATTTGACATGATCCAGCACGGAATGCAAATCTTCATTGATGATGACCCAAACAGAGAACGTAGCTCAAAGATTGTATGCAACATGGAGGAAACTCTTAGTTGCTATAATGAGATCTACAAGGACAAAAAGAAGAGGAGCACTAAGCAGTCAATTCTGGATTCTTTTTTTCGTCGCCGGAAGGCAGAAGCAGCATCTTCACAACAGCCTGCAAGCGAAGAGCAACCAGCAGCCGAGGAGGAGCAAACAGCAGTGAAGGAACCCCAGTCAGAGCGGGAGGAAGAGCCACCTGCCGGGTCTCAGCGACTCGTCACCCTCCTCCTCTCCACTACCCACCACACACTCGCTCCACCTCCGCCCATCAATAAGTACAATACAAAATGATTTAGTTTATTTATATACAGTATATGTACTGTATACTATTTTCTATAAAAATACCATTGAATTTCTGTATATTTAATGTATTTTATGGGGCAAGGGGAGACTGGGGAAGTAACTCCCGTATTTTATCTATTTCTTATGGGGAAAATTGATTCCATTAACGTCGCGGTTATCAGGAACGGAACCATGATGTTAAGCGAGGACTTACTGTATTTTAACGGGCAATGTTCGGTGGATTTGGCATCCTGTGTATCGCCGGCAAGGCCATGGGCTTGTAACACTCTTCTTGCCAGTGGTGCCCACCATTTCTCTGTGGATGTCAGTCACACTAGAATAACCCATTATAGTACATCCTTCTTTCCTTACACAGCCAAACTGTGGAATGCTCTGCCTTCTTCTGTGTTTCCATACTCACACAATCTGTCTCACTTCAAAAAGATGGTTTTCCAGCATCTTTGTGGTTTTGATTAATATAATCTTATACTGTTATAATGATGCCTTTTAGGGCTGATTCAGTGAGCATTCTCTTCTCCAGGAACACATCCAGAGTGCTAAGTGGGTAATTATTGTACCTGCATTGTCAAGAGGTGGGATAGAGAAACGGCTTCAAATGATTTTGTAAAAACAACTGTATAATTGTATAATAGTTTTTACATAAGATGGAATACTGTGTTTTGGACCACAGTTTTACATTTCAGTACATTTATATATGAGAAAGCATGGAACCTGTATCACATATTTAGATATCGGCACAGTCAACCCTCGAAGATCCAGATCTTCCGGCGAATGTACTAAATGTATAAAAACGATAAATAATGATATAAAAAAACCCAAAAATACAGTACATATTATCCTGACCACTGGGGTTAGTTATATAGACTTTTTCCTGTGAAAAAGCCATAATTTTGAGCAACATATTAAGGTACTCACTTTGTACCCAATGTACTACTACACTAAAGGACTAAAAATTTTATCTCTTGTGCAAACTATGTGATGTCCATACTCAAATTGTTCACTATCTTACAAGGATTCCAGCAATGCAAGTTTTATTCCGCTAAAATTAGTCTGTGACATTTTATAAGATAAAAACTTTAAGCCTAAAACTACCTTCACCCTGTTTTGGGAATGCTTCTTAGCCCAGAACTCAAAATTTTTTTGTCCGAATCTTCTGAAATCCAGATTTACAGGGTCCAAATTTTCGAGGGTTCACTATAAATTATGTTGTTGATTTTAATATTTCTATTGTACCAGAAAGTCGGCAAATCCTTGGTTCCTCTTTCCTATGGCTCAGTAGATGTTTCCTTAACTTCCTTGCCGAAATAAGTACTACACCACACTCAGGACAAGCATACTCCTTAGGCTTTTCATGTATGAGAGAATGAGAAGCCAGGCGATAAGCATGAGAAAAACTTTGGCCACATACTTCACACCGATGAGGCTGTGGGTTGCTGTGGCGACGATAATGAGTATCTAGTCTTTTTTCCGAGGCAAAGCGCATTCCACAAATGTCACACTTTGGACGGGAAACTGAATGTGTTTTCATGTGAGCAGCTAAACCACTACGCCACACAAATGGCTTATTACATACAGAGCAAACATGTTTACAGATATTAGAATGAACCTGCATATGATGATTAAGAAGGCTGCGGAACTGGTAACCTTTATGGCAGTGTGGGCAAGGAAATTTTTTAGATTTATGATGGTGTGATGCTTTGTGAACTGCTAGTGATTTATGCCTTTCAAAAGTTTTGCCACAATCAGAGCAGGTAAATAATCCTGTTAAATGGAGTTTCAAGTGCTGTTGTAAAACAAGCTTTGTTTTAAAAGTTTTGGAACACATGGAACACTCATAAGGCCTAACATTTGTGTGTAAACTTTTATGCCTTGTAAGACCCGATTGTGTCCTAAAGGATGTATCACAAATGTTACAAATATATGGCTTCTCTCCAGTATGGATTCGGAGATGTACTACAAGAACACTGCGATTGGTGAAAGTTTTGGAACAGTAGTGGCAAGCATGAGGCTGGATTTTGTGGTGGCTGTTCAGATGAGACTTGAGACTGCTACGGCCTTTCAGCATTTTCCCACACACCTGCTCAGAAAGAAGAAAAATAAAAGATACTAAAAATTTAATATAAAACATTATCTACTGTATTACAAAATATTAATACAGTAATATCTCCTTCGCCGGAATCCCTTAAACCTGGAAATCTCCGAAAGTCGGAATTGAAATTTGCTCGGAAAATCATTCCCAAAGCTGGAATTTTCCAAAAATTTCCGGCTTTAGGAAAAAAATTTCCGAGGCTGAAAATCGAGAGAATTTTCTGAAAATGTCTTAAATAAAAATGAAAGTTAACCCCTTCACAGCGTCTGCTAATTTCGGTGGTATTCCCCAGTAAGTGCCAAAATAAAAAAAAATATGAAAATTCTTATATTAATGTTTTAACTACAGTTTTTAATAAAACATGCACAAGGATTCCATATTTAACAATTAAAATGTCATAAAGTAATAATATCTAGGGTAAATTTATGATTTTGTAGGGAGAACACTCATATTTTATATTTTTTGTGTTCATAATACAGTGGTCCCTCGGTTAACGAACACAATTCGTTTCAGAGGGTCGTTCGTTAACCAAATCCATTGTTTCAATGGGATATTGGATAATTGGTTCCAGTTCACAGAAAAGTACATAAAAAGTAAAAAAAAAAGGAGGTGTGTATGTAAAAGGTTCCTGGTTGATGATGATGATGATGATGGGAATTAGAAGTGGGGGTGGAGGAGAAGGGAGAAGAGAAGGAAGTGGAGATGGAGGAGAAATCACCTTTCAGGGGACCCATGCTTGATGCCATCATTTCACCAATAAAATTTTAAGTTCACTAGGTGTAATTCAAGATTATTTTATTTAAATCAACACCGCACTGCGCTATATATTATCAGTATGTTAATTAAATTTCAGAATGACTCTTAATTTCAATGAAAAATGCAAAAATATTCAACACACCAACAACAGACCGACAATTTTTATTTACACGGTTCATTCCATCATTTACGCGGGAAGCGGCGCGGGCAGGGCACGCACAAGGTCGCCGAGTCATCAACACATTACCGAGTTCTTCACCCGCCACCCACCATAGCCAGCCCAAGTCAGTGATAGTGATAGTGAGGATATGGACTTTGAGGGGTTTGACAAAGAGGCCCTGCAAGCCTCTGTGATGCATAGTGATACAATTGATACAAGTGATACAGGTGAGGGCCAATAATCTGCCCTCTGCCTCGGAACCAACCCCCCATCCCCGTGTGCCCAGCCATCTTTTCTACTAACGTAAGTGTTAAAAAACCTAATATTATTGATATTTCTCTTAATTATTAATTGTGTGTGCATACCATCATAAAGTTAAGATAATATTTTTATTACAACATAGTTGTGTGTCGTCAAAAAGTGGAGTTTGGGGGTCGGGCCAGTCTCTATTGGAATTAATCCCATATGTTCTGTTGTTCACTTAACGTGGTTTTTACTTAACGCAGTACCCTGTGGGTTCAATTGACCGCGTTAAGCGGGGTACAACTGTATATACTAAAATAGTAAGGAATTTAAGCCCAAGAGCCGATTTATGTATTGGCAGACTAATACTACAGCTAGTTGACCGGCCGGTGCAAGCGAAAACATGTTGAGGTCGGCTCGTAAGAAATTCGTTAACCGAGGGGTTGCTCGTTAACCGAATTTAAGAATCTTATGGGAGGCAGCTCGTTAACCGAAATTTCGTTAACCGAGGGACCACTGTATGTGAATTGTTTTTTAACAGGTTTTGACCGAATTACACTCATTGCATTAACGACAAGGGTCTTATTGTCCTGCACAAATCCAAATCGCTCCTATGAGCAATTACAGTCAAAACGTTTTGGGGTCTAGGGTTAGACCAATGAGAACAAATATAATGTCGTGTGTGTGTGCATGTGGAGTGTGTGTGCATGTGGAGTGTGTGTGCATGTGGAGTGCATGTGGAGTGCATGTGTGTGTGTGTGTGTGTGTGTGTGTGTGTGTGTGTGTGTGTGTGTGTGTGTGTGTGTGCGCGCGTGCATGCATGTGTGTATGTGTGTGTGTGTGTGTGTGTGTGTGTGTGTTAATAATACTAATAATAATAATAATAATAATAATAATAATAATAATAATAATAATAATAATAATAATAATAATAATAATTAACGGTTCATTGAAAGAGCTTGGCAGCCAGAAGGCTGAAAATATACAGTTACATAATTGGGGAATGGGTTTCGAATTACAAATAATATACAAATAACATAAGTGATATAAATAAGATACAGTATATAATAACTAGATGGGGAAAAGCTCAAACTACAGGGCATTTCAACATAGTGACAGTGCAAGAAGTGGTATTTACTGGGAGTGAATACACTGGTTTATTACAAGTTATTGATAATTTTTACAATGATTGGGACTGGGCTGTTCTTATAGCGATCAGTTCGTGCACGTATGGGCTGGATGCGGTTGTGTTGTCGAACAGCAATTCTCGGGCTAGGGATCTCAGGTGGTAGTAGGAGCCGGTGTCAAGGATGGTGCAGAAGCTTCTTACCAAATTTGCAGATGAGGTCGTGGTGATGGTCAGTGAGTCGAAAGGGTCAGTGTGTTGAGCGCTTCTTCATACGTGGAGTAGGAAGGGGAGAGAATAATCTTGCATGCCCTCTTTTGCACTTTTTCTAGGTGTTTACGTTGTGTGGCATTTAGGGAGGAAGACCAGGTAGGGGAGGCATAGGTGAGCTTGGGAAGTATGAATGTTGAGTAAACACTGAGGAGCTCGGGTGCAGGTACTCCGAGGGACTTGATTCGGCGGAGGAGGTGGAGACGGAAACTGGAGGATTTGACAACTTCACTGACGTGTGGTTTCCAATTTAGTTTGTTGTCTATGGTGACGCCGAGGAGCTTCGTGGAATCTACAACCTGGAGTGTGTTCGGACCTAAATTAATGGAAGGGGGTGGGACAATGTCGGAGGAAAGGTTGATGTGCATAACCATGGTCTTGGTATGGTTGATGGTGACGTGGTTGTTGGTGGCCCAGTTTTGGAGACTGTTCAATAAATCCTGAAGGGCGGTATAGTCGGGAGCAGAATTGTTGAGGCTGATCCCAATGGTGGAGTCGTCGACATATTTCCATCGAGCGGGGGTTTCTCTTAGGGCATCATTGATAAGCATAAGGAAGCAGAGTGGTCTCATCTTGGTGCCTTGGGGGACGCCACAGGTGAGTGACTGAAAGGTGGAGACAGCCCCTCGGAAGCGTACAGCTTGGCGTCGGTCACTGAGGAAGTCTGTAAGCCATGGTATAAGACTTCTCCGAAGCCCGAGGCCAAGAGCTTTGTTGATGATTATATTGTGGTAGACTAGGTCAAATGCTTTAGTGAAATCAATGAAGGCGACAGTTACAGACGTTTTTCGTTTCTCGAGGTGGCGGTATATGTAATCGAGAAAGCTGACAAGACAGTGAGTGGTGGAGGAAGTTTTCATATTGTCAAATTGCTGAGGGTCTACGACTACTGCAATATCAGCATAAGCCCAGTCGAACACAAAACTTTCACAGATTAGGCTGGGTATTGGGGTGATTGCAATAAGTCGTAGCTGATTTAAGAATTGTGGGCTGGTTGACTTGGGCACTGGTGATACATAAGAGGTCTTCCAGTCAGCTGGGCATCTGGCTTGACTGAGAGAAGCATTGATGATGGAGCATAGGGGCTAAGCAAGCTCCGGGGAGAACTCCTTGAAGAGTTTCATTGGTAAGTCAATGGGGGTGGTAGAGCGCACGTGTGTGTGTGTGTGTGTGTGTGTGTGTGTGTGTGTGTGTGTGTGTGTGTGTGTGTACACATACATATAGAGTACAGGTAAAAGAAATAATTGTCCAAAGAGCAAACATAAAAGGAATATACATTTTTGGCACATGAGTAAAATATCCCCCCTCCCGGTCAGCCAATGATATTCGCGGTTACGGCAATTCGTGGCCATTTTAAGACCCAAGCTCCCGCAAATTTTATGGGCATGCTGTATTAACAATTCTTGCGTACTAATGTTTCTTGTAGAAATATCATTTCCGTTAGCTGGAATCCCTCAAACCCAGAACTCTCCGATAGCCTGAATTTAAATTTTCTCGGAAAATCATTCCCAAAGCTTGAATTTTACGGAATTCCAGCTTTGGGAACGATTTTCCAAAGGGGCGCATTTTCCCGTAAATTCCGAGAATATTTTCCGATACCTGGAAAATTCCGGGAAGGGGGAGTTTTTTCCGGGTTTGAGAGATGATGAAATGCGCAATTTCTGGTAACTTCCGAGAAAAATTTTCCTTTACCACTTGGAAAATTTCGGGTATGAGCAGTTTTCTCTGGCTTTGAGAGTCGTCTCGTTACCCGGAATTTCGCATTCCTGGAAGTGCTCTGCACCAATTGTTCCAGTTAACGGAGACATCACTTAACGATTCTTGTGTATTGACGATGAGTAAGGTGAGTAATGTAAATGTCGGGAGCGGTTCTGGTGGTAATGATGGCCGTAGAGAAGGTCAACAAGGAAAGCTTCATGCCAAACGTAACTACAGTATTACCCCGCTTAACTCGCTTTCACTTAACGCGTTTTCGCATATACGCGGTGCCTTGCCAAAGCTGAACTTTCACTTAACGCGGATTTTTCCACAGCAACGCGGTGAGTGTCCGGCTCGAGAGCTATTTTTAGATTCGCACCACCCCCCACCCGCCACCCTGCCTGACTGCCTGTTTTAGCTCATAAAATTCATACAAATTACCCAGCCAGAATATAATTTACATTGCTGGAATTCTTATAATTTGGTGATCATTTTGAATATAAACAACATATATTTTGCATTAAACATACAATTTTTAGATAAAAATTGTTCTCTAGGTAATTATGTTATCTTTTGTCCAAGATATATGACATTTATATTCAAAATATTCCTGGTCTTACAAGGAATCCAGCAATGTCAATTATATTATCCTAACTTTAGTTTGAGGTATTATTTATTAAAATTTAGTGGTTATCCCACACATCTCCTTGGGACAGTTGGTGGGGGGTGGGGGGT